GCTTAAAAAAAAAAAAGAGAAAAAGCACAGTGGATTTTTAGTCTTTTCTTCACAGAATGTAACATGTTGTTAACAGCTTTGTTCCTCTGATCTTGACATCATGTTAACAACAGTACTAAATGCTTTATGCGTCAGTCACAGTCAACCTAATACCTTATTACCATATGAAAGCATTAGAGATTTTTTTAAAATATGCTGTTAAACACGGACTGTCCAGCACATTTAGGAAATGAAGAGTGCTGCGCAGCATAAACACTTGCCTTGATTAAAGTGGGGACTGATGGAGAGTCTTTCTCAAGAGGGTAGATCTCAAAGTTGGTCGGGATGAACTCGTTTTTCATAGGTAATTTAAACTTTCCGTTGAGGTCTGCACTTGCCCATTTCTGAAACACAGACAAACAATCAGCAAACAGTGCCTCATAAAACTTAAACAGCAGTCACAGACTCATCAGAAAGCATGTGTGTGATTGGATTAGAGCACTATGACCACAGTGATTCACCTTGAGGGTCTCTTCAGTGATGGCCTCCTGTTTGTACTGCGTGCCATACCACTCTTCTGTCTTGTCGGTTTGTCCTTCGAATGACTTTGACACCACTGCAACTCTGGAAAAATAAAAGTGAATCAGGCCATGTTACATGGATGCAAAAACCTCTGTCGGAGCTGATTAGATGCTCTGCCTTTGTAACCACTCCACAAGATGAGATGTGAGTGCTTTTCTATTAGTGTTGCATTGGGATCACGTTTAAAGTAGTGGAAATCCATCAACACATCTGCCTCTAACTGATGAGCTATGTTTAGAATTCCTATAAGCCCTCAGTGTGCTGCATTTAGAGTGGGTTTCACTGGAACCCAACATTTATTCAATTAAAGTAGCAAGAGCGGGTTCCTATTTGTTAAACATCAACAAAGACTCGGTAAAAAACAAATTGTTGAATTTCAACAAGTGCGATTCTAATTTCTAGCCCTTTAATGATGCGACCCAACTTGCTGCAACTTCACTTACAGCTGCTGGAATGAGATCGATCCGTGAGGAAACACTGGCATGAATTCTAACTAGGGCTGGCAAAACACCAAAGTTAAATAGCCACTTCAGTAAAGGAAGAGACTGGCATGTAAACTGCCAGGGTCAGCCAACGAGTGCATGCAATCTCCTCCTTGGTGAGCATTAGGGAATGGACTAGTTACAAGTCTGCACTTTGCGTGACACAAGTAGCATCCCATAAAATGAATGTTAATGCTGCAATATGTAAGATTTTTACCAAGTGGGGCTGCAACTGAGAAGATTTTGCTATTCCGTTAAAATGTCAGGCATTTGTTACGCAGGAGATTATACTTTGAAAATGAAGTCAGCTTAAGAGGTTTTCCACAGAGGCTCAACCTCTTCAGCATCTTTTACAAAAGGACTACATGCAAACTATATGGTTTGCAGATATCATCTGCTAAGATAAGATAAGATATATAGTAGTATAATATAGTATTAAGGTGTCTCTCTACTTTAACTCAAAATACTAGTTGATAGGTCATTATCTTTAAATAAAATGGGGCTAAAACACATTTTAGATTGGCCAAATTTTATATGAAGAAATCCTCTGAGGATACCAGCATTTCCAATTCAGAGAGCAGAACTTGATAATGTATTCCTGAGCGCACACATTCATCTCCCGATACACAAACTGAACCTTTGAGACTGCAGAGATAATCACATCTGGAAAGTTGCCTGGCATTTCTTTTCAAGGTAGAAAATTGAAAAAGGTGTTTCATCCAAATATCAAAGTAGACCAACACAGCACTTTGTCAGAGCTGGCAGGAAACAAAAAATATTTATTATCTGAATGTATTATCCTCTTATTTTCTATCACTGATACCAGTTACAAATATCCAGCAGACTTCCTGAGGTGTTTCTTTGGTGTTATGTGCAAATACACACATAATTGTACGTATATATGTATCTGTTTAGCTATAAATAACACAGAACACTGAAATCTATAAGGAAATAGATTCACTATGATTTATACTTATCGAACACTTCAGTTACCATCTGAAGCCGCACTTTAGTAGTGTGCTACTGTGACAACGTTAGTGTTAACTGTTATACTCAGGAATTTCAATAAACAAAGAAGTTTTAGTGCAGGTGCATGGATGGGATCAGAGACTGATGTTCTCACACTCACCTGACATGTTCTGGTCTCAGCTTATCCAGCACCATCTCAATCAGATCTGGCCTGAAGTCCTCCAAAAGGTACTCTGCTGCTAGGACCTCTTCAAGAGGGTAGTACTGAAACACAGAGCAGAAGATGTGAAGTGAGGTGGGGCGATTGGATATAAAACATTTGTTGAAAAGGATGTAAATTGAATTTGTTCCTCCAACTGTTCCTTGAGGCTGAATAATTATAAAAGTTACACTAAAACAAATGTGTTATTAAAGCTCTGATGTTCACGGTGCACAGATCTCCAATCAATAGTTTAACAACTGAGTCACAGCCCGCAAACTGTCGAGAGAATAAGGATTAGACTAAACTGTTGCTCTGCTGCAATGTGATTGCACTGAATATCACAGTATGGGTGTAATGTGAGGACTTCCTGCCACTTCTTATAATAGAGGGTGAGAAAAAAAAATCCCCACAAGATTCACACTGCCAAACCTGGTGAGAAGAAATGCAAAAGAAAATGCTTGCAATTAATGCAGCAGTGACAATTAGGTTCTTAAGTCAATGAGGCTTACTGCGACTGTCACACCGGAACTGTGGTGAATATAAAAGCCTCATTTCTGACTGTGCCTCTGTAAAATCTCAATTCTCTCAATAGAGTCAACAGCAGCACCAGGCAGCCTGATGACGACAGCAGGTACGGACACAATGAGCTGCACTCCGTCTCCCTGAAAACAACCTTTGCAGACGGAGAGGGGACCTACGTGTAGTAAACCAGCCACTTTGGAAGTGTAGCCACGGGGTCGTTCCTTGTCCTTGAACCTGAAGGCCACTTTGTTTAAATCCTACGAAGAGAGACAGAGATGGAAGACACAGATGACAGGTGGAGACACATACAACAGTTACATACAGTTAAAAGACATTTGGAGCCAGATTCTAGAAAGGTGGACTGCACAGAATTTCATCTGTTTTTATAATCCCTTAGGAAAGCTGTTGGGGTTTTTTTTACAGTGTAGCGTAGCTTCATTTGACATGGCTTAATTTATACATGGTGAAAATAGCTGGTAGGTTTATATCCATCAGTCTGTGCTGTCAATGTCTGTGCTGCTCCATTAGTTTCTCCACTAACCATAAATAAGTAGGCCACATTTTTCCTGCCCCTCGGTCTGAAATGTTGTCGCTGAATAGACAACATTAATTACCTTGCACTCCTCGAACACCCACTCCTGAGGTCCCTCAGTACGCAGTTTCTGGATATACTGGAACATGTGGAAGATGATGTCCTCAACGTGCACTGTCATGACACAATGAACATTATTTACACTTAATTTCCTCACACGCTAATCTTACCACAATAGGGAATAATCTCATGCAAAATACCCAAGTACTACTTACAGAGGCCCTCCTCGGTCAAGTCCACGTTGATGATGAAGAACATGAATCCTCTGGCTCCTTCTTTCTGCCCTCCAACAAGTGTGTTCACCCAGCCTTAAAGATAACAAAAGTTTGAGCTTGTTTTTCAGCACGTGTATAGCACTTTCTATCACAGTGCCTAAATTAACATGTCTGGAGCTCTCCTTAATGTTACCTTTAGATTTTAGCTCAGATAACAAACTTCCGGGTCCTTCGTGACCAATGAGGTGTCCCAGATAATGTCCTGGGTTAGATTTGTAGTACTTCTGTAGGTCTGGGATGGGGAAGGTCACATAGAGGTTCCTGATGTCTTTAATGGGCACCACTTTGTAGAATTGCTGTAACAAAACACACAAAAAAACACTTGTTACTTAGGGAAGTCATTCACACAATGTTTTAGAAAACATTTTGATGAATAACTGGAAATGTTTGTTATGTAATAAATGAATACAATCTAATTAAACACTTGCTATGGCCATATATTGCATTACAAGTGTAACGAGTGAACAGTAAAGTTTGAGAAACATTGGTAAGATAAGTCATTGGCTTACTCTGAGGTGTTCTTCCTGGAACGGGTGCTCAGGGAATTCTGGGATAGGAACGTTCTTGTTCTCCACTTCTCCAAACAGGTTGACAACCATGGACGTCAAATCATCTAATGATTCTGTAGGTAAAGAAGAAAAAACTCATTTATAGTTTACTTTAAAGACAGTAAGTAGCTCATATGAGAGCAAACAAAACCCTCGTTATAAAAGATCTTTGGCTGCGATCGAATAATAAAACATAAACCCACCTAAATTATTTTTTACCACTAATACGATTTTTCAGGATGCACACAACTGTTCAACTCCTATGATGTAACAGTAAAATATTTTTAAGTATTTTAAATATCTCCCTATTGTTTCTTTTTTTACTAGTTTTAACCT